ACAAACTTTCTTCACATCTATCACATTAGAAGTAACAATAGTTTGTTCAATAGCACCTAATATCAAATCTTCAATTTCTATCATAATAACTGAATTGCTTAAAAGAAGACTATTTATTGCATTGTCTGAAATATTAGTATATAAAGTTGCACTAATATCAACATAAAAAATTATATTGCCACTCAAAACTCAAATTAAAAAGAATATTGAAAAAAATTAGAATTAAATTATTGTTTAATTATTAAAATTTACCTTTGTTAACCAATCGATTTATTTAGAAAATGAAGAATTATGTGTATAGGTCGAAAAACTAAAAAGAGAAAATATTAAATTTGTAAAATAATTAGATCTAATGGAATATATTAACAACAAGTTTTTTGAAGAATCAGAATGGCAAAAAAATGAAATAGAAGATTTAAAAAAGAAAATTGATCAGCTCAAATCCATGAAACCTGAACTTGATTCTATAGTAGTTGTAAAATCTAAAGTAGCTGATATATCAGAATCTAAAAGTTTACTAAGTTTAAAAAAGAGTTAAAGAATTCAACCTAGAAGAAGTAGTAAAATAACAAAACTGGTAAAACTAATTATAAAAGATAAGCTCAAATCAGAAAAAGCAAGAGTAGAAATAAAGATCTAAATGAAACCCATTTCTAATAAATATAAACTAAAGATAAATAAAGTTTTTTCAAGTGATATAAATAAAAAAATATTACAAAAGTTGATACTCAAATTAATAAAATTCATAGCTTTATGTTTTGATTCCTCACAAAAGCAAATAAACAAATGATTAGATGTTTTTCATCACCTTTAGAAAAAAAATATTGGAAGACAGCAATAGAAAAACTGGAAGTGAACAATTGTCACTTATATACAAATGGTTAATTAAATAAAGTAAGATTAATAATATTTTGTATTTATATTACTTTCAAATATTAATTTTTAACAAATAATTAAGAAAAAGGTATGAAGAATTAAAAATGTATGGTTATTTATTAAATAAAGGTCAAATAAAGCTATCAAATATTGAAATGAATTAACTGATGTAATTAAAGAAACAAAGATTTATTTACCTGAAAAAAGTAAGATTGATTTGGGAAATTTTACTAAAAAAAGAATAAATATATATAATTACAGTTGATATTCTAAAGAAATATTTTTTAATAAAATATTTTATGTTTAATAATTATAATATTAATTATAATGCTGATCCTCTGACCACACATAAAAAAGACGTTTGCAAGAAGTTTCTATACTTATAGGCTAATAAAGTCTTAACACTCTCTTTAAACCAACCTGAAGGAACTTCCTTCAGGACTTTGCTACTTTCTTCTACATTATCTACAATCTTCTTTGAACAATATTGGGCTCTCGTGGCCTGCAAAGTTCAGTACTCATTTTTACTATCAATGGCAAGAAAGTTTCTTAAGGGAGAAAAACCAACAGCAAAGTACTTGCCACCTAACAGTTGAAGTGGAGGAATAAAACCGTATCTCAGAGAGGGTTTCCCCTATTTAAAGACTCATTTCTCACCCTTTAAATAGTTGTATGTCCTCTTAGAGCTACTACTTTTCATGGCTTTTTGGGGAATTTTGCCTATCCCAGCTTGACCCTGAAATTTTGGGTAGCACAAATTCCACTGATTCTGATTGGCTGACATGAAATACGTTGGACAAGATTGATAAATAAGCTCCTATTGGTCACCTCACATGTCTGAATGCATTTCCTCAGCTTCATAAGAACCTGAGGTCCACTGTAAGTCATATACATTGGTGCGAGTGGATATAGAACACAAATCGCTACATCATTGAATATAAGAAAGAGCATATCCTCCCATAGACTGATCGTCTAGTCAGGGCACAAAGAAAGACTAGCTCACTTACACTTGCTGATAAAGACAGATCAAGCACAAAACAGGATATGAATAGGCAAGAAGCAAGTGATATGACATTTTTCACACAAGACCGAACTCCTAATCAAATAACAAAACAGGTTGAGACACAAGACAGGGCAAATTTCTTTTTTCTTTTTTTTTTTTTAAGCACTAACAAGGTCTTCTCATATAAGGGACTCTTAATACCAGTAGTGTTGGATATCTTAGACAAGTTCTTGACACGTTAGTTTCCCCCAGCAGGAATAACAACAGGTCATCCAGTGGGCAAAACCCTAGGAAGTGTTGGTTCTAGAAATAGGTTTAAGGTTGGGTTACTTCAATAAAGATTAATTTGCATTCCCTATAGCTTAGTTAGAGTTTAGAGAAAGTCCTAACTAGACGGTCAATAGTCATCCCATTCTGATTGAGTGAGACATAAATAGATGCTCCTTGAACTATTCGTTGATCTGTAAATCCTTAGGCAATAAGGATGATTAGTCATTCCAGTTGTCCCTAGGACATATCTTGATTTTAATAAAGCATACAAATCAGCGTGGGAATGAGCTAACATTTAAATATATATATATATATATATATATTAATTATAATTACTTATAGTTAAAAGATTTATTGAAATATTTAAATAAATATTTGAAATCAATTCAAGTATTTCAGTTGATTCATAAATAATATTATAATAATTCATATTTCTATGATGTAATACTATCAAAAGGTTTATCAAATTGGATATACAGATTGAAAAAGATTTCAGAATAAAAACAAAAAGAAAAGAAAAAGATAAAAAATTGATAGTTAAATTTAAAAGATAAATTATCAAATATAAGGAATCATTAAAATATTTAGAAAGTGAAGAACAAATTAGGGAAAGTATACAAATGTGTGAAATTCAGAAGATAGTTAGGTTAGAAGAAAAAAAAACAAAAAATCTTGAAAAATATTTAATAAGATAAAATCAATTAGAGCTAGTTTTAAAAGAGTCAAGCCAAAATCTTTAAAGAAAAAAGAAAAGCAAGTGAAAGGAAAAAAAGGAGAAAGAAAAAAGTGACAAATAATTTAGTCAACTGATTTTCATGAAATTTGTTAAACTTCTTGAATATTTATCAAATTTCAATACTGGATTTATAACTTTTGTTGAATTTTTTGCCACAATAATTTTTTTGCTACAGTATGCAAAATTTTCCAAATTCAACAATAATTTGCTAGCCAAATGACATAATTTCGACTAGTGCTAATACTAGTTGTGATTGAAATAAAAAAAAAATAAATAAAAAATAACTTTTTGTATTTTTTACATTTTTTTTTTGCATTTTTTTCGGGCATATTTTAAAGTCATGAAGACACGGGCAATTTTTCTTGAAGGCGACCAAAATACTAAATATGATTTTTCGGCTCTCGGTTTTAAATAATACGTATATAATTATAGGGTCCGAAAAATCCCTGTCCGCCTTCGAAAATAATTACATAAATTACCGCACGCACTAATAATAGTCACGGGACATTTCCTCCGAACCCAAATATAAAATATTTTGGTCTTATAAATGCGGTGTTACGACTGTACTTTGCAAAGGACCATTTACTACTAATCTGGCCTTCAAGCCATAGTGACCCGCAGGTCATTATTATCTATACTGAGGTTGTTGCTGTCATTATTGCTTTTGTAAAAACAAGAACCGCATTATTTATTGCTTTAGAATTTTTCTTTAATTTGTCATTTTCAAATATCTGTTTATAACATGTATCCTTCTTATTAATATATAGTATCTATAAAGTACAGTGAAATAATCATAAGGGGTGGTGTGCGTAGATGTTTGTGTTTGCTTCGGAAAAGTTAAGTAAATTTATGCATCCGAAAATAACGATAATAGGAAGGTTTCCTTTTGTTTCTGCCTTGCCTTAAACGACAAGTTGCAACGAAATCAAAAGAACGAAATTCGACTAATAATTTTTGTGAACGAATATTTTGAAACCTGATTCCCGCCGAAGGAATAGAGTACGAAAGTGTCACCGATAATGTATTAGAAAGGAATTTCCGGGCTGACATTGATATAGTCGAGCGTTTTGCTTTTACTTTGCAATGCCTCTAGAGAATAAGATTCTCCCTTTTACACCTATACGAGACGAATGTCAATGGATAAGATGCAAAGCCGGTGTTTTTGGTTACATATCATTAATATTATTCCATTAAACTCGGACCTTATTCATTTTCAGAATTTAAAATGTTCTCAATGCTCATTATCTCCTTAATATGAGCATATTCTTCGTCTGTGCTCTTACTAATCGTGGCAATCGGTGTCACAGTAAAACCATAAACCAGATTTAGTTATAAACAAATTAATCAAAATGCTCGGAAAATCATATGCATCATCATCTCATACCTAAATTCATCTACTACGGTCGCATAAACTGGTCTTAGAGCAGGTTGCCAGAGTCTTCGTCTTCGAGGTCTCGCAGGAAAACTTGCTACACGTTAAAAAACAGTTTTAGCGACTCCTTTCTCAACTTTTTTTTTTTTGTTAATATACTAACTCAAGTGTCTCAAATCGGCCGACCACCTAACAAATATAACATTAATAACTACAGGAAGTTGAAAACATCTAGGAGTACAGAATAGAGGCCAATTACTTTGTATAGCACTCGCGTGCAGAACGTCCAACTCGCTCTGCCGCCTTGGTAAAGTTTCCTTGATACATATTTAACGATGTAACCAGAAATAATGTATCCTAGAGAAATGTATATACATGTTAGATGTAGACCAAATGATATTTTATAAGTTTTATATCATAAACTTGCCCTCCTGGTCCACCTATCCCTTACTACAGACGAAGGCTGGGCGTTCATTTTTTTTTTTTTTTTTGTTAAATCCACTGAAGAATAACATCACCGAATGAACAAATTTATATGATTTGACCCATGTAACCTGGTGTACCCCTTCACCGTTGTCAAATATAATATTATACAATAATTTATTGTCAAATTGTCAATCAAAAAAAAAATTATGCAAACACTCCGTCATCAAATAAATTTTCATTTCTATAAATAAATTTGTGATCATGAGTTCCGGAAGACCTTTAAATTATTGGCCGACGAGTTCCGGAAGACCTTTAAATTATTGGTCGACGAGCATGGAGTCATTCACCTCAGTGTCTGGGTCTAATAATTCTTTGACAGATGTGATATTATCTGCAAATTTTTCAATTGATATTCTCAACCTGATTTCCTTTTCTATCATCACATTCATGATTTCGTCTAATTCCTCTGCGTTGAATTGCGACTTTAACTCGCGGAAGGCCATCAAGTAAAGATCTAAAATTTTTACATCGTTATTACGAGTTGGAAAAGAAGATATTCGCATGACATGTTGAAACTTCACCTTTTGACCAGGGGCATTCCCTTATGGCCCTGTAATATAATGTCTTTGCTCGACGAAGTTCATCATGTTTAATTTCGAAATTTATATACAGAGCCCATAAAGAAATAGAGTTCTTCGTACTAGGAAAAAAAAAAAAAAAAATGATGAAATTCCTGTAATGTAAATTAAAACTCGCGCGCAACGCTCTGAGCTTACCTGGGACATGCCGAGGCTTTATCGAACAAGGATCTTACGCGGTCAATATTGTACGGCTGTTGACGATGCAGTTCGTCGTAGATCGCGACAGTCCATAAAATATAGCTTGGATTCCTAGGAAACATAAAATCGCGTAAGGAAAAGGGACGATGCTAAATGGATTTAGCGGAAAGAAAAAAAAGATTTAAAATATACACTTGTGCAAAGACTCTTTTAAGTACGCTTGAAATCCAAGGGGTATTCTTCCGCGAACCTCCTCGTGAAAGTACAAAGATAAAAACATGGTATTGTTGGGAAATAGTTTTAGAGCTCTGTTGAGCGTCTTCTGTAGCAATTCTCCGGGGTCCTCACCCGACTCACGGAAGTTGGGTAACAACGAATGCTGATAAATCATCTCGATATAAGTGTAAAATGAGTTAAGGCATACTTTTAATGATTTTTCCAACGTGATCACGAAAATTTTTTGAAACAAATAAAGGATATGCCATATAAATCCTTTCGGTTTCAACATTTACACTACCCTTCCTAATGTTCAAATCTTGTAAAACATCTTCATAGACTTTACTTGCAAGTTGCAGGCTCTGACCAAGGCATTCTAATAATGCATAACACGCGCAATGGTACAAAAAATTGTTCGAATCGGCTTCTGATGTTGATGGATATGTAAGCCTTGCCATTTGTTGAGCATAATACTAAACGCGTGCATACATATAATGTCATTGACTAGTTCCTAAATGATAATAATCAGACGCGCAGATTTCATTCGTAAATTAAATTTACCTTTCTCGCCCTCAACAATCTCGTGACCGGAACGTCAATCTCGGATATTGAATCTAAGCGCGAGAGACTGTTAAAATTTTAACATCAAAAAACTTGTTGCACGAGCATTGAAACTTTAAATACCAGTAATCCTCTGTTCTTCAGCCAAATTCACGAGAATATCTTTCGAAAAAGAAATTTATGGTAAAGGAAAAAAAGTTTTTTCTTAAAAAATAAAAAGAAAAGAAACCTCACTCATCGCAGTTTTATGTCTTCCCTCTTCTATCTCCATTTTAGCATATGAATGATACAACAATGGCGCATTACTGCGAAACTGTTCGGGAAATGAACGATATCGACCGAGCGCTCCCGCATATACTTTTCGCGCCTTAGTTTATAGCATTATTGCATTAGCATCAATAAACATAATTCTGAATTCATCCTGCAACAACACTTACCTCCGAAATCCTATTCGACGATCTCTCTATTTGCGCATAACCATTCCAAAGTGCGAGATTCATGGTATCACGTTTTATTATGTCTTTTGCCGAATTACGCCCGCTGTAAAATAAATTTTTTTCGAAAAGTGTAAGGAGGGATGAAAAAAGAAGTGAACACACACACACAAACCTTGAGGCATTGTAAAGGTGTTCGACTGCGAGATAGCACAATTTAATATCTGTATCATCTACAACTTTTTGTATCTGATAAAGAATATTTCTGTGTGGAAAGATAGAAAAGAAGGTTAGCCGAATCAGTCAATTGGAATTAAAATTTAAAATCCGAATTACCTAGCGAACTTAACATCCATAACCTCGATTCCACCACAGATAGAGAACCAATGACGCGATGGAAATATAAGCGTGTCATCTTGTGGAAAGGCCTTTAGTGGAAACTTAAACTCATGAGCTAACGAAATGTCCGTCGTCCAAAAGTAAGAATTTGCTATGGACTGGTTTGCAAGCTTGGAATTCAAAAAAGCATCCGTAATCAATGGGTTCGATGATGAATAGCCAGGATTGAATGTCATGCCGACAAAAGCAAAACAGGAGTAAATAAACTCCTTACGCGACTGCGGTGACGTCAAGTCAAAAAAAAATGTACGAATGTCATCGAAGAGCACGACACGATATGGATCCTCAACGTCCAGTTCATCACCTAATCGTATGTTAACCTGTTATCAATGAATGATCTCATTTTCTAAAAAAGGATTTAAAATTTTCATAGCTTACTTGAACGGATCGAGAGCAATTGGGAATTATGAAAATCTTCAGCCTTGATCCATTTTTCGTACATATCGCCATCCCCTTTTATAGGAATCGGGTCAATTCGTGAGGCATTCACGTGAATCAGATGAAATCAATACGCACCTTCGCCCAACGTATCAGATAAGATGGATTCGCCGCTAGTAGCATTTTGTTGGTTGTCGTCTGTTTCTAAGATAATGAGTGCGCTTGAATGATAAAATTCCAAAGGAATTGTTTTATTCTATGGGGCTTATATACACACCTCGGTCAATATAATAAGACCATCCCTTGGCGTCCTAAATATTAAATTAGTGATATCTGATATGTTTAAAATGCGAAAAGAACAAATATATACACATATATATATATATAATGAAACGAGGAAAAGAATTTTTTTACATCTTCACCAAAACGTGTCCATTCAGCTTCCCAGAAATTCTCGAATGCAGCTACACGATCATAAAAAACTTGGTGCCGCAAATCTTCGGGAATAAAAAATGTGAACTCTATCATCGCTTGCCAGCATGCGCATGCCCTTTCGGTGTATCCTAAATTATCTACGATGAGATCTAACCTTATTCTACGGATAAATGTTAACCAACGATTCTACCTGATTGAAGCATCAAAAAACATGCACGCTGAAAAACGTGTATCATTATTCGCTCGATTTTTAGCCGATCTAGGTGAATAATGCCGAAATATTAATATATCATAGTTGTACCACTGCAAAGTTTCAATAGAACCGTGTCTATTGTGACCAACCTTCACTGTTAGATGAAGCCAGGACCTCTTTCCTAAGTATGTGAAAACAATCTTCAAAAACCTGAATGCACTGGCTAACTGTAAAAGAAACCAGATTTGTTTGCCGAAAATTAAGATACTGCATCCAGAGAATGATGCTCCTAGGGTTTTCTTTGAGAACTTGATCCCATCTTGTGAGTAATCGGGGTACACTAGAATGCAATGATTGAAATCTGCTAAGTCTGGCTTCTTTTTTATAATGCACGTAAGTGCACGGGCAATAATTAACACGTACTCCCAAACTTGTTCACAGCATTTCAAATAAGCGGCAAGTAGAGCTTGCTCATTCGGGTTTGATTCCAATGACTTCTCAAAGATACTAAGTTTCACCTCATTGATACTTAATCTTGTGGCTGCAGCATCGACCTTTTTACTTTTTCCAAATTGCATGCTCTTGTCTTGAAATTCAATAAATTCCAGCCATAGGTCAACGTCCTTTGGATTCTATATTAAATGTAAATTTTAGAATGAGAAAATCATTATTATAATAATAACAATAATAACAAGGTTGTAAAATCACCTGATCTAGCCGTGCATTAAAATCCCTGGTTTTTTCCCTTATGACTTCTTCGGACATCTCTTCTTGCACTTGAGTGGATTCGATTAATTTACTTTTCTCTTTCAATCTCTTTTCCTTTTTTGAAGTGCTCTTTTCTTTCCTAGGAAAAAAGATCAAAATCTCAACCATCATCTCGCTAGAGAAAAGGTTGCAAAAATGTGATGAAAGTGAACCGACTTCTTTGCCTCTTGTCGCGCTTCTGATCTTGAAGGATCCAGATTTCTAAACTCCTACGTGCCCAATCAACTATGTGAATTTAAACATCCTAATTTAAGTGCGACGATTAAAAATTATAAGTGAATTACTTTGGGAATTTTTTCTACTGGTTTAGGACTTTCTTGCTCAGAAACCAAGGGCTTGACTACCGCTCTTTCCTGCTAATTTATTCGCAAAAGAAGTCAGCATAAATAACCAATTATGTGACTGACTTGATAGACGAGCATGTTTCATAATCCTCACAAACAACGTTTCTATATAGTTCCTCTTTCTGTCTTCAAAATCCGCGCCCCGTGACCGAGAGGAACGTTCTTCGCGAATATAGCGATCGCGCTTTTTCTTACGATACCCATAATCGTCGCTAGAAGGTGAACGGGATCTCGACGAGTAATCCTTTTTCTTCTTTGTCCGTTTAGAAGATCGCGAGTGTCTGTGTTCTCCAAGGTCATACTCTCGACCCGATAAGCGCGCTTCCGGACGTTCATTATGATTGCGCTTTTCGGATCTCGAAGATTTCACTTCTGAAAAAAGTAGAAATATCAATTGGACCTCGAAATTACGTTGATTGATGTAATTGATGGAATTAATCGCGCCTACCGAAATTTTGCTCAGATTCGCGTGAATCCTTGATCGCTAAGGGAATTTCTGGGAATGATGAAAAAGAAGGCGCGACAATTTCCGATTCTTCTTCGGACGAATCTGGTTTAATTATCATCGACATGATTGTTATTTGAGTGTCAAGAACGTAAATTCTACCAACTTGAGGGATCTGCAACTCTCAGATTGCGTCATCATTCAGAGCAAATATGGAATAAATAATAAATAGATAAAACAAAAGTCCTCGGAAAATGTTTGGACTCTTGTTACTATTTTTTCTCCTTTTTATTTCTTTTTTCATGATAAGGCTCCTTCATGTTTTACCAAGACGACATTCTCGATTCTCTGATTCAAAAAAGTGCAAAAATCAAAAGTCTTTCAAGACTTGTATTGTTTTGGGTTCTGGTAAAAATTTTCTGCTACTTTAAAAATTTGCTACGGTCGCTGGCATTCAAATAAATTGAACTTCACTAACTACTCGAAGGTGGGCACACAATGGAGATGATTCAACTCTTGGAAGGAGTCGATTTCAATTCACTTTACAAGCCACGAATATATGTGGCGGCTGACAATGATAAATTGAGTTGCGAAAAAATTAAAAATTTCGAAAACCGTAAGGGCGGCGTGGAAAATGTCGATGTAGATATATAAATTCTTTTCCTCAGGCGGTGTTGGTTCCGTCCGGCTGACTTGCCGTAATTTAATCTGTGAATTTTTTTGGATTAAAGTTTGTCGTTCGAATCATACCACGAAGTCGCCGAGTTGGACAGTCTTGGGTGTCGACACCTTTCAGCGTCATAAAAGCATTGTTCGCGAGCGTGAATATAGTACTGTTAGGCTTGCCCGACCTGGTGCGAATGCATGTGATTTCCTCGCCTTTACAAAAATGCCATTTATGAATTTTTTAAACCTTTTCCTTTCGCGTTCAAAGATCATATGCAATGGTCCTGGAAGTTGCGTGCCAGTTTGTGCCATAGCGTATATACCGAGAGTAAGATGAATTTTAATTGACCTAAATTGCAAGGACGATCGGTTGCCATTCTGAAATTTATTTGTCGTCAAAAAGATTCTTGGGATCAAGTGGATCAAATTAATTTATGTGGAATCATTTGCCAGAGTCAGAACCCTCTCTCTGTCTGGCAAGCTGTTGCTCAGATTTGCGGATAGATTTATTGTTCAATGGCCTTACCTCGAACAGAAATACCCACAAGCTGAGTATAAAGGTATTCTTGTATGAAGGTGAGCAAATTCAATGTCGATGCGTTTTAAAAGATCTTTACCGTATAAATTTTTGGTCCTGGTAAGATAATATAAAAGGTATTGATCGGACCATGAAAGGGGATACGTACCGTATGAAGTAGTATATATGCTTATTTATTATTTTTGCCTTGAACAGATGATACAAAAAGTATTTAATAAATCATGGATACATGAATTTTTACTTTTTCACAGTTTATAAATCTTGTCTGGTGAATTTGCAGCCAAATTTGCCGGTCGCCTTGATGGATATTGACCTATTTAACATTGTTTAAATTCACTATAATAATAATAATAATCGGCCAATATGACCAGTATAAATAATAAAATTCATCAAAAACTCAATGACAATAGGATTAAAGAAAAAAAGAATTAAAAAATGGCATTTTTAAGTCGATGTTCCTATTTTCAATTGTTCTAATTGGATAGTAAGGGCACGGATGGTCACGTCTCTCTGCGCTAATTGGTTTCGAAGGTCATCATTCTCTTGACGAAGTTGATGGTATGCGTCTTGATACTGGAAACGATAAAACGAAATTAACATATAATAATTACATGCCACAAAAAAAAAAAAAAGGAATATGTACATCTTTCTCCGACTTTGGTGTAAAGACCTCCTTTTCTTCTTCCTTTGGCGCACTGCTAACGAATTCTTTCTTCTCCTTAACTTGAAATCCATTCTCCAAGCTTATTGTGTTTGGATTGGCATTTTTTCCCCCAAAAAATTCATCTGCAGTCAAGGCAGGCACATCACTCAAAGTCGGAGGGAACAGGTCGGCTTGAAACGCTTCGGACTAGGAGGGAGAGAAAGTTCCGCTGCAAATAAATAATGATATAACGGAAACCAATACATGCTATATACATGAACTTACTTTTCGCGGTACAACAAAAGATATTGGTTCAACTGAATTGTTGGACACTTTATAAGCCCTCGCGATTTCACACTCGTTAACATTTACACCGCGTTTGGGCATAAATGACATGCCGCGCTGAGGTTCAGATGACTTATATTCGGATAGGAAGAACAATTCATCATTTTCAAATTCATAATACCGAATGTTTCCGTCTCTACGAGCGAAACAAAAAAGAAAAGATGGAGAAAAAAGGAATAAAAAAAAGCGCATGCCATTCGAAATCGTAAATACACCACCCAAAAAATACATACCCCTACACAAAAAAAAAATTTAAAATGGATGTATCAACAGCATTGTGCAAAAGAATCAGGAGATCCAGGAAGATCGTTTTAATACACCACTAACCTTTCCAGCTAGATACAGTATCTTGGTATCGTCATCATAGAACGGCATGACAACTCCAGAAGAAGTGTCCAGCAACAGACTTTTAATTGGCTTATCCAGATTAGTTGTATCCCACAGAAATATTTGCCGGTCACTCATCTTTGAGAATCCGGTCGTCACGAGACGATCGGTGTTACCCAACCAAGCAATCCTGGATCCTTTCACACCTTGATGACTCGTAGCTTCCTGAACAATTTTACTGGAGCGCACATCGAAAATCCTAAGTTTCTTGTCACGACATGTCGTGGCTAACAAACTGCCATTATAACTCCAGGACATTGATTGTATGAAGTCCAAGAAACCACTAAGCTCCAGTTTTTCCTGACCCTTTTCAATGTCCCACAGTTTTATGGTGAGATCGGCGGATGAAGATGCAAGCACATTATCAGCGACAGGATGGAATAAAACGTGACCAACTTTTCTATATTATCAAGTCAATAAAAGCAAATTAAAACGGACACCACTCGCGCGCGAATGAACTGAGTATCTCTTTTCATTACCGCCCATGACCACTCAGCTTAACAGTGGGCTCAATATCCGGGGATTCGGGTTCACCGAGCTCTTCCGGAACATTCCAAATCATTACTTTGGAATCTTCACTGCAAGACGCAACAACATAATCATTGAAGTTTGCAAAATCTGTATCCAAGACCGGAGCAGTATGAGCACGATAAAGCGGTATGGATTCACTTATTTTACCTTGAAAATAGGATGATTAAGCAAATTTGGAATCATTATTAAAAAAAAAAGAAAAATCCCCACGCCATGTACAAAATGACCTACCAACATTCTTATGCGGAATTACAGCGAATGCTCCCCCCCCTCCGGCATTCCAATTAATGGAAATAAATAACTACGTATGATGCAAATTATGAATTATAAATGATAATGCCTAGTCAGTCTGTTCATGCGTAACTATTATACAAGCAGACTTACAGGATTGACCTTAACGAGATTTGTGTCCCACGCGTTCGTCGATACTCTGATATTTTCGAAACAGTTTTCATGCTTTGCGCCGGTTCCGAATACGTGTCTACATAACAATGGTTGTCAAAACAGCATTAGCAAAAATTTTTACGATTGAATTGTTAATCAGCGAAACGAACGTAATAGTATTCTCCACGGAATTAAGAGCGTAACTTGTCGAGTTGATCATTTTCGATGATGAGCATACCTAAATTTCGAGGCGCGCACAAATCTCGACATGGCTTATATGATTCAAATTAAAAAATAACCTCGACTAAAATTTTCTTATTTAAATAGTTAGGACAATACCTAATAAATTACGTTCACGTAAACCGGGAGTTTTGTGTATTACTCTGTTGCACGAGGCAATATCTTGTGCGCAAATCTTTTCTTTGGAAAATTCACCGGGCCGTCTACGCCACAAAGTTCGGAAAACTCACACCAATATTCATTCAACTATGAATGCCGAAGATCAACAGACTGGAAAATTCAGTAAAGAAGCTGTCGCATATAAATTTTGGCAAGAATTCCAAGAAAAACGAACTGGTAAAAGAATTTAATTCTATCGAGCCTGCCAGATGTTGTTCTTGGATTTCACTAACCAAAATTAAAAATCGCAAAGCTATTCAAAAATCGTTGAACGAATTGTCGAGAAAGCCAAGGTCAGCGATTCCTTCATTATGCGAAGAACTTTTGCAACGTATAAACAAACTGGAGAAGGAGGCAACGGACGCAACAAGATTTCTGCCGACTTATGATCAGAAACAGCTAACTCTGGTACTTTAAATACTCATTTCTCCATATTTAATTTGCTGAGGTGTAACGATACATTGAAATAAAATTCAGCAAATTAGGACTCTGATTGAAGAACTCAACACGAAAAAAGCCGAATTAGTCCCCAAGAGTAAATTTTCATTCAAATCGCGTAAATCAAATAGAGCAGGGAAGGACGCGACCAATTCCGACGGCGAGGATAGAAGTACCACACCCACAAAAGAGATTACGACCGCAGAAACTTTGATTAATGAAAATTTCCAGGCGATTAGTTACATTAATCTTCAAAATGTTTATATTAATATTGACACTTTGGGGGATACTAGAGACAAAGTATTTGATTTTCACCTATCGAATCTGGATCATTGCATTGTGAATCTTGTAAATCCTGCTGTCACCATAGGTGCGATGCATATTAAGGGATTGAGGAATACGATAATAATGTCCGGACCCGTCGGAAGTTCAATATTGATATATGACTGTGAGAGATGTCTATTCTTGGTCGGATGTCATCAGGTAAAGAATGCCTTTTCCTCTTTCTATGCATGCCCTAATAAATTTACAACTCATTTTCGTGTAGTTTCGAATGCACGCATCAAAACAAATGACAGTCTACCTTCACGTGACGAGTCATCCAATCATTGAAGATAGTCATGACATTGAATTTGCTCCCTATACATTATTCATACCTGGTTTGGATCAAATGTTTGAGGTAATGGTAACATTCGACGTGCCCTCTTTACATTTTCACAGCCGATTTACTGAGTCCTCAATTTTACAGACAGCAAAGTTGGATCAAGAAAACAATAAATATGATAAAGTTGAAGATTTTAATTGGTTAAAACAACAAGCGTCACCAAATTGGAAAGTTATTCCAGAAGAAAAATGGCGCAAGGATTGGTCGTCACTTCAGATTGACAATCCAGACAGTATTACGGGAGAAGATATCAAGAGCAGGTTAAATGAGATCCTTGGTTCACAATAATCGCAGTATTTGCATATTAATTTCTATGGGTAAAGCCCAACTTTAATTAAATTATGATTTGGTTATATTTTTCTGAATGAAAAGATCTCTTGATCCATTGTCAATCTTAATATAGTCTTTTATTACTAACACAGATATACACGCTTATTAAAAAAAATTAATGCATATTCTAGATTATTTTGGTCGGTCCTTACGAAACAGTGCACTGACCGCGCTTTCTATTTTTCTCGCGTATGACCAATGTATTAACCAAAGACTCCCCCAAGTCCCCTCGGATTCGGTTTTCGGACGGTGACCTGTGTTCGCAGGTGCTTCTATAAAATTCCTAATTGCCAACATCATCTGTTTGGCGCATAGCTTTTCCGGATATCCGCCGACACCAGTTCCAAATCCCGCGCATATAACTGCATTTATACGCTGGTGTTTGGTACTTCCGGCAAGTACCTTCGCGTTATGACTTCTGACGGCACATAACATAGCCCATGTACACCTGTACACAATGTCATCCTCGGTATCTAAAGCCTTGGGAGTTCTCATTGTGGGACAGTGAGCTATATAGCGTGGAAGATTTTTTCTACCCTGATCTGCCGAGTTCGAGTCCCCCACTAATTCTCCAACATCCACCAACAAACAAGTACCAACATTTTGTTCACCACACCATTCTAAATCTATTCCCTTTTGCACTAATGGTATAAGTTTATCCACACCACCATAATATTCAGAGATATAGTAATCTATACCACCATCCATTAGGCCAAAGCTATTCGCGGGTGAAACCATACACTCGGCCTGGTGAGTTTTCAATAACTCCTGAAAAGGAGCGTTATGAAGTTGTACCTTTAAACATGGAGTTGGATCCTTGGTGGATACCTTTGAAGGAAGCTTTTTTAATTCTCGATTCCATGATTCAATTAATGTCTAAATTCAGAAATGCAAATGTTATATAAATGCGTGGCATTGGAATTAAATGTGCATTTGTAAATACCATTTGAGTGTCAACAAGAAACAGTTCAAAAGCGTGAGGAGGAAGCTGTTGATTTGTGGCATTCTCACTTGTACTCTCGGTTACATCGTTGATCATTTCGCCTGTCGAAGCCATGGTATTGAAGGATTTAGGAAAACTAAATTAAAAATTCAACCCGACGTCAAATAAATAACTTTTGAGGGTTACACGAGATTCGTCATAAAAATCGGATGACATAGTGTGAAAGAAACTCGTACGATCCCGCCATCGAATGATATCTAAATATGTACGCATCTATCGCATTATCGCACCTATTACAATAAAAAAAATTTATTTCAGCGCATGTTTTAATTGATTAAAAAAAAAAAGATAAATTACATCAATGGAATGCTTTTACATTATGTACATCGAGTGATTTGTTATCTAGAATGGTTATTATCCTTTTTAAAATATGACAAAAGAACTCAATTGTATTATTTATCAAGATAAAGAAAACTATCAAAACGTTTTTGTTTTATTATTTTTTTTTTAATTAAAAATATTATATAAATATTTTTTTTCAAAAAAAAAAAAAAAAAATTTATTTTGATCTTTAACTATATACAGTATTAAAAAAAACATGTTTGCAAAAGTAATATTTCAAAAAGAATAAATAATTTTTTATATTGATTCAAAAAAATATTTTAATTGTTTGCATTTATTGTGATGGAGATACAATGATATGATTGGAAAATTCTAGAAGATTGATATATTGTGATAATTATTTAAATAAAAATTAAAAATAATTAATATTATAAATCACATTTATATTTTTTCTTAATAA